AGCCCCACCGAAGCCCCCAATGGGACCGCTCACATGCGTCCCCCACATCCAATTTGGCACGTTCACCCACCCAGCACAGCGCTTCGTGGCCCCATAGGGAGCTCCACCGAAGCCCCCAGTGCCACCGCCCGCATGCGTCCCCCACACCAAATTTGGCATTTTCACCCGCCCAGTACAGCGCTTCGTGGCCCCATAGGGAGTTCCACCGAAGCCCCCACTGGGACCGCCCGCATGCGTCCCCCCCACACCCACTTTGGGATTCCCACCCACCCAGGACAATGCTTCGTGGCCCCATAGGGAGCCCCACTGAAGACCCAAGTGGGACCGCCCGCATGCGTCCCCCACACCCGATTTGGCATGTTCACCCACCCAGTACAGCGCTTCGTGACCTCAGAGGGAGCCCCCCCACCGAAGCCCCAAGTGGTACCGCCCACATGCGTCCCCCACATCCAATTTGGCATTTCCACCCACGCAGTACAGCGATTCGTGGCCCCATAGGGAGCCCCACCGAAGCCCCCAGTGGGACCGCCCGCATGCCTTCCCCACACCCAACTTGGCATTGTCACCCACCCAGTACAGCGCTTCGTGGCCCCATAGGGAGCCCCACCGAAGCCTCCAGTGGGACCGCCCGCATGCGTCCCCCGCACCCAATTTGGTATTGCCACCCACCCAGCACAGCGCTCCGTGGCCCCATAGGGAGCTCGACCAGAGCCTCCAGTGGGACCGCCCGCATGCGCCAAATTTGGCATTTTCACAGACCCAGTACAGCGCTTCGCGGCCCCATAGGGAGCCCCACCGAAGCCCCCAATGGGGCCGCCCGCATGCACCCCCCACACCAAATTTGGCATGTTCACCCTTCCTTTACAACGCTTCGCGGCCCCATGGGGAACCCCACCGAAGCCCCCAGTGGGACCGCCCGCCCGCGTCCCCCACACCGAAGTTGGCACTGTCACCCACCCAGTACAGCGCTTCGTGGCCCATAGGGAGCCCCACCGAAGCCCCCAATGGGGCCGCCCGCATGCGCCCCCCACACCAAATTTGGCATGTTCACCCAGCCTTTACAACGCTTCGCGGCCCCATGGGGAACCCCACCGAAGCCCCCAATGGGACCGCCCGCATGCGTCCCACACGCCTAATTTGGTATTTTCACCCACCCAGTGCAGCGCTTCGTCGCCTCATAGGAAGCTTCACCGACGGCCCCAGTGTTACCGCCCGCATGCGTTCCCCCCCCGCCCAGCGCAGCGCTTCGTGGCCCCATAAGGAGCTTCACCAAAGAAGATATTCACAATTGCAGTACCCACAACTTCATATGGTTGGGTCCTTCGCCAGGATAAGTATTGCAAGAGTTTCACGGGTTGAGGGCGGGTGGTTTTTAATGTAGCTCTCGCCTCAGCGCTGGGCATATTCGTTACGAAAAGGAGTTGGAGCCCCTAGGAAAGCAGCATTAGTAGTAACGGTAAAGCTAAGCTAAAGCTAAGCTAAAGCGAAGCTAAAGCTAAGCTAAAGCTAAGCTAAAGCCAAGCTAAAGCTAAGCGACAGCTAAGCTAAAGCTATGCTAAAGCTAAGCTACAGCTAAGCTAAATATACGCTAAAATTAAGCTACTGCTAAGCTAACCGTAAGCTAAAGCTAAGCTGAAGCTAGGCTAAAGCTAAGCTAACGCTAAGCTAAAGCTGAGCTGAAGCTAAGCTAAAGCTAAGGTGAAGCTAAGATAAAGCTAAGCTAAAGCTAAGCTACAGCTAGGCTAAAGCTAAGCTAAAGCTAAGTTAAAGCTAAGCTAAAGCTAAGCTAAAACTAAGATAACGTTCAGCTAAAGCTAAGCTAAAGCTAAGTTGCAGTTAAGCTAAAGCTAAGCTAAAGCTAAGCTAAAGCTAAGCTAAAGCTAAGCTAAATCTAAGCTAAAGCTGAGCTAAAGCTAAGCTAAAGTTAAGCTAAAACAAAGCTAAAGCTGAGCTAAAGCTAAGCTAAATCTAAGCTAAGGCTAAGCTAAAGCTAATATGAAGTTAAGCTGACGCTGAGTTAAAGCTACGCTAACGCTAAGCTACAGATCAGCTACAGCTAAGCTAAAGCTAAGCTAAAGCTAAGGTAAAGCTAAGCTAGCGCTAAGCTAAAGCTAAAGCTAAGCTAGAGTTAAGCTAAAACTAAGCTAAAGCTAAAGCTAAAGCTAAAGCTTAAGCTAAAGCTAAAGCTAAAGCTCCCAGGGGACTGGGGGAACCGCGGGGCGGATCCTGGGAGAACCGCCCGGGGCGGTGAGCACTGCCCGGCCCCTTTAAGAGAACACGGTAAGAACCCTTCTAGACATAGCCTAGGTAGGGAAAAAAAGTTTCACGGGTTCCCATGATCATCGTACCAGTAATGATCTGTTGGAAGGATTCAGGATTATGAGGGTGCGACAGTTACGTGGATTCGCGGTGTTGAAGTCCCAGGAATGATTCGCGATCGTCAAGACACAACAGTCAAGTTGATCCGTCGCGTTGGTATCCCGAGAGCAATGTTTTGGCATGCGTCAGGGTCTTCAAACGGTTGTCTTCCAACGAGGCAGTTCCCTCAGTGGAAGTGAGCCGTTGTAGGGGCCTATGAAAATGGAGCTTGGAGAGAGGGTTGACTCAAACATCGTTGATGACTCTTGGGTTTACACTGGTCCTCCTCCTCCTCCTCCTCGTCCTCCTCCTCCTCCTCCGTGCCTCCTCTTTCCCCGTGTATGCGGGGATATTCGCTGCTCGGGAAGGCATTGCGTGCGATGCGATAGGGGGCCTCAGGGAACATCGCTCTCTCAACCCGATGAGGACTACCGTCTCTGGGAGCACCCATGAACTTCAACTGTCCACATAGCGTGTACTAGTAGTACCTGGCGGATCCTCTTCAACGCCAAATTAATTGAGCACACGTGTCGAACCTTCCCCCCGCCTTCCCGACCACCACCACCACCAAAAGTGCCAGCATGATGTGCTGACCTTCAGCAATGGTTGCCTTCCTGCAAGCCAGTCAAAACAAGTTGGCAGACGGACAAGGCAGCGTGTTGCAATATACCTGGCCCCTGTCTGGCGCCCCCCTTGACGGAATACAGTCATCGGCCCAACCTAAGGAACGATAAATAAGGAACGAAGCCCATATTTTCTCCAGGGAATAACGCACAAGGAACGATTGATAATGAATAACACATAGGGAACGACAAATAGCGCATTCAAACCTAGGGAACGACCGAGCCCCTTTTGAGAAGAAAGTGTTCCTTATTCAAGCCGCTCGCGCTCGCTGTAGCCCTCCCCCATCCCCCCGCTGCCCCCCCCAACCCACGCCCTCGCGTTGCCCTGACCTTGAACGCCAACATGCGACCACCGTGCTCCCCGGGGTGTTGGCACCACAGAGGACTGGGACCACCAACGGGGCCAACGCCCCAAAGACCTCTTACACTTCAAGCCCTCCCCCCCTCCCCCGCTGCCTGCCCCCCCAGATCCAGAACCCCCGACGTCGTGATTTGTGTCGCATCATGGTCCCCTTGGATGCCTGGACCACTTCCCCTGGACCGGCTCCTTTTCATCCCGATTCGTTCCTGACGCTCTCAAAGAAGCGGCGAGGGCCCCCGCAGCCGAAACACCCCGATACCCTCCGTCGTGATTTCCTCGCGGCGCGAGGGGGTCCGCGGCGGGGGCGCGCCCGAAACAAGGACCCCCGGCGGGGGGCGCTGCAATTCCCCGGCAGCCCTGCGACGGCCCAGGCGGCGTGGGCCGCCGAGGCCCCGCGGCGCAGGCGCCAACGACCCTGGTGCCCCCTCGGGGGGGGGGGGTCGCCCAGGATCGTCGGCCCACCCCTCCCCAGGGTTCCGCTCCAGGTCCGCTCAGCGTCTGAGCCCGTGCGGCCGCCGACCGGGCAGCCGAGCGGGCTCCACTCCAGCAGGGCAGCTGGAGAAGAAGTGGGCCCGCGCGGCAGCCGAGCGGGCGAACGGAGTCAGACGCCGAACGGGGCTCAGAAGGCAACCCTGGGGCCGTCGTGCCTTCCCCTGGCGCCGCCTTTTTCGGAGAGCAAACCTCGCCCGCGGTGGAGGCAGGCCCTCCTCCGCGCCAGGAGTCCCTCTTCGGCCGCGGGTCAGCCGCCGCGGGTCGCGCGGAGGCGCCGGGCAGCAGCAGCGCCAGAGTCCAGAGCCAGTGCTCACGCGCGAAGGCGGCACACAGGCACCATCACCACGCCTGGACAGGGTCGGCCTGGGCCCTTGGAGTGGTGCACGCGCCCTCTCCGGCCGGAGCCAGGAGCATCAATGCATCATCATCATCATCATCATCATCATCATCATCATCATCATCATCATCATCATCAGCAGCAGCAGCAGCAGCAGCATCATCATCATCATCATCATCATCATCATCATCACCACCTCCACCACCACCACCACCACTCATCATCATCATCATCATCATCATCATCATCATCATCAGCAGCAGCAGCAGCAGCAGCATCCTCATCATCACCATCATCATCATCATCATCATCATCATCATCATCAGCAGCAGCATCATCATCATCATCAGCAGCAGCAGCAGCAACAGCAGCATCCTCCTCCTCCTCATCATCATCATCATCATCATCATCATCATCATCATCATCATCATCATCATCATCCGCATGACCATCATCATCATCATCATCATCATCATCATCATCAGCATCATCAGCATCATCATCATCATCATCATCATCATCATCATCATCATCGTCCGCATCACCATCATCATCATCATCATCAGCAGCAGCAGCATCATCATCCGCATCACATCAGCATCATCATCATCATCATCAGCAGCAGCAGCAACATCATCACCAGCATCATCATCACCATCATCAACATCATCAACATCATCAGCATGATCACCAGCATCATCATCATCAGGACCATCAGCATCATCAGCATCATCAGCATCATCAGCAGCAGCATCATCGGCATCATCATCGTCGTCATCATCATCATCATCGTCATCATCATCACAGGGCCCAGGGCGGCCCTGGCCAGGCACGACGGTGTGTGGATGCTCTATGCGGGTCAGTGCTCACAGGCAGCGGCAAAGAAGCTGTGGAAACGGCAAGGGGGAGAGTGCCAGTTTCCGGGACTGCTGTTGATTCCCCAAACTGTACTTGCCCTTCGGGGTCCGTACCTGTTTTCTGAAGGAGTGGGACCCAGTGTCGGGTCCGCAGCCTTGTCGCCGCCGCCGCCCCGTCGCCGCCCCGTCGCCGCCTCGTCGCCACCCGTCGTGTGGGCTCCAGTGTCGAGTCCGCCGCCTTGTTGTCGCTGTCGCGGCCTTGTTGTCGCCGCCTCGTCGCCGCCTCGTCGCCGCCCGCCGTTTGGGCTACATTATCTGGCCTTGTTGTCGCCGACGCCGCCCCGTCGCCACGTAGCTTACACCACATAGATCGCACCACGTAGCTTACACCACATATACTGGACCACATAGAATGCACAACATGGAATGCTTAATAGAAATCGCACCACATGGGTCGCACCACATCTATCACACCACACAATTTGCACCACATAGGCTCTGCATCATGAAAGAAAGTTAGGGTCTACCCCCCCTGGGTTGACCCACCTACTTTGGGAGAATACGACGTACACGTGTGTCTGCTTCATCATTGTTTACCATCCTGGCTAATCCCCTTTGTCGCCCCCATTCAGCCACTTCAATTAATACGACGCGCGCGCTCTCAAGCCTCAACAACCCTCAAGTTTTAAAAACCGATGCGCAACAACACAAATGTCGACACGCGCGCGTCGTCACGCGCACATGCCGAATTCCGTCAAACAACTTGAGTTCCTTAGGGGGTCACGATCGAGGACCCCGAAAGATGTAAAAAAAACAACGACTTCGAAACAAAATGCTCGAAACACAAGTATGGGCCCGCGCTCTGGCGAATTCATATGAAAACAAGGTTTTCCATCCTGATCACCACATGCGACCAAGCAAGCCTCTCGCGCGCGCATGATTCGAACGCCCTTGCCCGCTTGGTAAGGACCACGAACCGAATACTCGATATTTGCGCCTCGACAACCCCAGGAGCCTCCAAGAGGCCGCCAAGAGGCCCCAAGAAGCCCCAAAAGGCGCCCAAGACGCGCCCAAGAGGCCAACCAGATACCCCACGAAGCCCCAAGAGGCCCCCAAGAAGCGCCCAAACTGCCTCCAAGAGGCCCCCGAGAGGCTCGCCACGACACCCCAACACATATACAAAAGGCGTCAAACCCACAACCCAGGCACGGCGGCGGGATGGGCCGAAGGCCACTAGGAGAACGCCAACGTCTCAACATGTGTTGGTGATTCCTATCCGCCCCCGCATGATGTTCCCAGCCCAGATGCACCAAGGCAGCGCCGAGACGCAACGAAACGACTCTCATATATCCCATTATGATAGAGAGGGGGCCGGCGACAGGGGGCGAAGCCCTCACGGATAATACCACGCGGGCCACTCGGGCCCGCCTGCCACGCGCGCACGTCTAAATTCTTCAAAAAACCTTCATCGCCGACACGTAGACACCATCATTGTCATCGGCGTGATCAGCATCGGCACCGCTGGGAAGTCCCCAGCGGTCAGCGCCACCGCGGCCGCGTCGGTCGCGCCTGCGATCGAGAATGCGCGCGCTAGCGCGGCCGCACCGACGCGCCAGCCAGCGCGTCGCAGTCATCGCAATCGCTGCCGCGTGGGTTTTGCAAACCAGGTTACGGGTGCGCGGGTGGGATGATAGCGCGAGCAGTGGAGTTGAGCATCAGCTATTTTCACCAAACAGATTGCACCACACAGCTTGCACCACAGACGTTGCACCACATAGTTTACACCACACCTATTGTACAATCTGGGAGCGCTGGGAAAGCGATTCCTGTCTAAATTGTAAAGAAATCCCCAACGAGAGCGCGATTCCTGAATAAAATGCAGGGAAGTCTCAGGCAGGAGCGGGGGTCCTGGCTAAATTGTGGAGAAATCTCAGGCGGGAGCCATTGTTGTTGTAACCCCTCAAGACCTTGCCTGATAAGAAAAACAAGGTGCGAGCCCCGGGAAAGGCACTTCAATCGAAAAAACACTGTGCACCGGACGGGGGGGATCAGCAATAATTTTCTTCTGAAAGGAGAGTTCAACAACAACAAAAAGACACAACAACAATAACAAACAACAAACAACAACCAACAAGAACAACAACAGCAATAGCAACAACAACAACAACAACAATCATTTTAAGAATGCTCGTTCCTATCTGCTTACGCGTCAATCAATACATATATCCCAAACCCTCGGTACCCGCCCTCGTCGTCTTCGACCGCACTTTCTTGGGGGTAGATCTTCCTTACCAGCCACGCAAAGAGGACGGGCGGAAAGGGGAGGGAGAATAATAGAGCACGAGAGAAATTAGCAGGAGGGGGGCAAGGAGCAGAAAACAGGTGGTAGAACCAGACGGGCAAGTCGGATGGGCAGACCCATAGAGGGCAGGTCGGGAAGGCGGGCCCAGGCGACCAGGTCGAGCAGGTGGGTTGCTGAAGCGTGAAACCTGCATGAATCGCGAGGAAGTCTCGATCGATCGCACGATTCCCAAGTAAATCGTGAGAAAAGCCAAAGCGATAGCGTGATTCCTGAACGCCGAGAACGCATCGCCTGAATCAAGCGCAAGGAAGTCCCACGCGAGAGCGCGATGCGCACATGAATTGTGAGGAAGTCCCGCGCGAGAGCGCGATCTGTGAATAAATTGTGAGAAGTATCAAGCGGGAGCAGTTGCTGTCGCTGTCGCTGTAAATCGGGGGCCAAGGGTCCAATTTGAGTCCTGCGACTTCCCCCGTTAAAAACAAAGTGCGAGCCCCGGGGAAGCGCTTCAATTGAAAACACAACGGTCACCGGAGGGGGGATCAATACGAAATATTCTTCTGTAGCGCGAGCTCAACAACAACAATAACAACAACAGCAGCAACAACAACAACATCATCATCAGCAGCAGCAACAACAACATGAACAACAACAACAACAACAACAACAACAGCAACAACAACAGCCGCAACAACAACAATACCAACAACAACAACAACAACAACAACAACAACAACAACAACGACAGCCACAACAACAACAACAACAACAACAAGAAGAAGAAGAAGAAGAAGAAGAAGAAGAACAACAATCAGCTTACCACCATGCGCCATGCTTCCACCTGTTTTATGCATCCTTCTGGATACCACACCCCATCATGGGGGATTGCTCTGGCGCGCGGGGCCCGAAATTCCCTCGCCGAGATCTCCCGCCCAAGAAAGCATGGCCACCACCTCCCCCGAGGAACTTCGACACCCGCGGCTCGGACGGCACATCGCCATCGCAGTCGCCTCGCGCACGCCCCGCACCTCGGAGGAGGAGGAGGGCGGGGGGGGGAGGGCAGATGAGGGAGAGGAAGAGGGGGAGGAAGAGGAGGATAGAGGAAGAGAAGGAGGGGGAGGAAGGAGGAGTAGTTGTAGTAGCAGTACCTCTGATGACGAGGTGGTTCTTACTCCCCGTTCGAACTGTTACGCCGCAATCCTGCAGCCTCGGCGCGTGACCCTGAACGTTCACGCCCCCAGGCGCTGCCGCTCCCATGCTCGCATCCTCCACCTGCCCCATCCACACCCTTTCAAGGAATCCCTGAAGTCAACACTTCGGCCCTCGATCCATGGAGCCCCTGGAAATCATCCGTCCTCCTTCTCCTTCTCCTCCTCCTCCCCATTATCTGTGGTCTCCAAAAATGAGAATCCTCTAATAATTAGGTTCAACAGGGACTCTTGGAAGCCCCCCAAAGGCGATGCCGAAACGAGGGCCCCAGTCTTGAGTAAAAGGTGAGGAAGTATCAAGCGGGAGCGACGAGGGAGGACGGAAGGGGAAGGGAGGAGGGAGGAGGGAGGAGGGAACCAGGAGGAGGGAGGAGGCTGGGGGAACGAAAAGGGAAAGGAGGAGGGAGGGGAACAGGAGGAGGAGGGAGAGAGGAATATGGGACGGGAGAGAGAAGAGGGAGAGGAGAGACGGAGAGGGGGGAGGGAGGAAGAGGAGGAGTCGAAGGGGGAAAAGATGGAGGAGGAGAGGGGAGGAGGAGGAGGAGAGGAGGAAGAAGAGGACCGATGAGGAGACGAAGAAGAGGAAAAAGGAGGAGGATGAGGAGGAGGAGTGGAGACGAGGAGGAGGAGGGTGAAGAGAGGGAGGAGAAGGGGGGGGGAGGGAGGAATGAGGGAGGAGGAGGGAGGAAAGAGGACGGAGGTGTGAGGAGGGAGGAGGGAGAAGAAAAGGGGGGGGAGGAAGGAAGAGGTAGGAAGAGGAGGGAGGGGGGAGGAGGGAGGAGGAGGAGGAGGAGGAGGAGGAGGAGGAGGAGGAGAAGGAGGAGGAGGAGGAGGACGAGGAGAAGGAGGGAGGGAAAAGGGCGCCAGTCCAGCGTAGAACGGGAGGAAGTCTCGGGCGGGAGAATTGGTTTTGTCGGGACGGGGGCTGTCGGCGGCGAACAAGAGCACCGGCTTGAGTAAAAAAGGGATGGAAGTCTCGAGCGTGAACGTTGTTGTTGCTGGGGGGCGGCCCCGATGAAAGAAAGAGTACCGCGCCTGACCCACCAGACGCCCGAAGACGACACCACGAAGACCCCTAAAGAGGCCTTCGAAACGCAAGGAAAAACCGTGATTCCCGAAGAGTTGTTGCATGATTTGGGGGATGCTTTGCTCTTCGGTCCGTCGGGCGTTCGAGACCGCTCGGGAGGCCAGAGCAGCGCCGCAAAAAGCTATCCGAAAGGGCTCCCAGGCCGCCCCCACAAAAAAAAAACCAAGACGGCCCAACAGGGCTTCAAAATGGCCCGAAGAGAGCCCCAATGGGCGGCGAATTCTGCGCCGCAGTCGTGGGTTCCTCCAAGGCAATAGGAGGAGTTGGTGGCTACTGTCCTGCATTGAAGCTCCGCCAGACCCATTCAGACGTGCTCTCCCATCACTGTCTTGCTTGCTCTGTTGCCAGCCTGAGCCTATGCCCGGGGGGCTACCTGCCAGATCAGCACCCCCGTGACGGTCCAAGATGGCCCCAAGAGACCCCAGAAGCACTCCCAATCGTGACCAGGTCGTTCAGGGGACCGCGGTTTGGAAGCAGGGCGCCCCTGCAGAGCCCCCAAAGACCCCCCCCCCCCCAGGAGCCCAGGAGGCCACCAGGAGGCCCCAAATAGCTTTTTAACACTCTCGCAAGGCCCGAAAGAGGCTCGCCAAGGAGGAGCCTCCGCAAATAGAGTCTAAGGAGGATGGGGACAACATCGCAGGGTGGGGCAAGAATGAGGAAGAGGAAGAGGAAGCATGAGGGAAGGATGATGGACAACATTAGTATAACGACGATGTCCGAATAAACAACAAGAAGTGATAGCTGACTATTCGGTTTACCGCTGCCCTTCCACCTGCATGCGAAACAATAAGGGTCAAGGTGCATGGCGCGAAACGCCAGTGCAGTTTTGTATATGCATGTACACATACGTTCAAATATGGTACACCACATACCTGATTACGCGTAGCTCCCATCGCCTAGATTACACCACACAGATTGCATCACATAGCTTGCGCCACACAAGCTGCTTACCATAGCTTGCAACACATAGCTGCACCACATCGGATGCATCACCTAGCATGCTAGAGTTTACAATTTGGGGATGCACGCTCGCTAACATACGTATGATCAGGAGTCCTGGTCTAAAAAACTTCAGGGCAAGCTTGCAGCCGGCACCCGGCGTCGTTAAGTATGTGCCCAGGGGTCCCCAGGGCCTTCGGGAAATAAGACGATAAACTGCCGTGGGCACCTGCTGGCAGGTTGGCTCCCTGAGTCGGGGAGACGTAAGACTCGGGTGGGACCCGGGTTGGCCTCACGGGGCCATCATGAAAATGACGAGGCCAACTCTGAAACTTGACGCGAGCTCCCGCTGCAGACATCCCACGAAAACTGGACTGTCAAAATCCAGGACGCGCTCGTCAAAAAGCGTGGGCAAACCCGAGTTCTGGCGCACTCGAGTCCTACGCTGTCTCGGCTGAAGACCGCGCCTGGTGCGGCGAACGATATGACGTTCTCACTTTCGGGCGCAGCTCCCCGCCGGAAAATCGAGTTCCGAGGAGGCGCCGAAAAAAGGCCATTCCAATACACATTTTTCTTTTGAAAATGCTGGATTTCTGCTTCTGGCGCCCGGGAGGCCTCCCGGGCCGATTCCGACGCCCGGGCCGGCGCCCGAGCCGGCGCCCGGGCCGGACGCCCGAGCTGGCGCCCGGGCCGGCGCCTGGGCCGTGTCCGGAACCGGTTCCGGCCGGCGCCGGAAAATCGAGTTCCGAGGCGGCGACGAAAAAAGGCCATTCCAATACACATTTTTCTTTTGAAAATGCTGAATTTCTGCTTCTGGCGCCCGGGAAGCCTCACGGGCCGATTCCGGCGTGCTTCCGCTCGTTCCGAGTCGTGCTCCCGCTGCTAGCGCTGGCCATCATTTCCTTCGCGCCGCTTCCGCTTCGTTTCGACTCGTGCTCACACTGGCAGCAGCGGCTGCGTTCATTCTCGTTGCCATGCCACGCGGGCCGCGGCATGCAATGAAATGCTAGGTTGCTTAGCTTGTCCTCCTCCTCCTGCTCCTCCTCCTCTTCCTTCCTCCTCCTCCTCCTCCTCCTCCTCCTCCTCCTCCTCCTCCTCCTCCTCCTCCTCCTCCTCCTCCTCCTCCTCCTCCTCCCCCTCCTCTTCCCTTTCCTATCTATGGTAGTGGTGGTGGGAAAATGGCCCACCAAGGAATCAAACGTTTCTTGAGGGGTCCTGAGGTTTCGCTGTCAGCCGTTGCTGGGCTCCCCGGGCCCTCCACGGGCCGCAGGGCCGACCACCACGCTGAGGAGTTGCGGGATACCGCGCGAGAGCTCCTGGAAAGCATGTCCGTCCGAGATGCGAAGACGTGAACCCGTTCTGGGCGTCCACCAGCCCTGTCCGTCAAGCAAACGTATGTCGTAGGCAAAGCATTGCACACTCGTCGCACCGCGAGTCGGATCTCCAGCCCCGCCCCTCTCACTCAAGAGTGCGATTACGGCACTGCCCACATGCAATCGAAGGGTGCCGAGTACGACGGGGAACACGCGAGGATTGGAGCTCTGACCAGGGCGGCGACTGAGCAGGCGAAGGAGAAGAGGCAAGGGCGGGGACAGCCAGGCAAGGCAGTGCGAGTGAAACGCGACTGGTCGCAAGAAGACATTGGTAGTACACACAGGCCCAAATCAGATTAAACTCCAGATGCGCAGTTGCCCGCACGCTGTGCAAGGGCAGGCTGAGGCGTCTTGCACGACCTCGCTCTAATTTAACGCCATTCCACAATTGTTACCTCTTCTGGTCCGTCGCCCGGGATCGACGAGTTCGCTCCAGTGAAGCCAAGGCAAGCAGAATCTCGTCCACAACTGCGCACTTTAGATTGTCCAGGGCACGAGCCACGTAGATTCTCCTCCTCCTCCTCTCCTCCTCCTCCTCCTCCTCCTCTCTTCCTTCTCCTTCTCCTCCTCCTCATTCTCCGACAACCTTGACCGAAGGGCGACCGAATTGAATGCCACAAGCATGTCCGATCGAGCCGAAGCCACGCGAAGACGCGAGGCGCTCGCGCAAGGAGGGGGAAGGCGAGAGAGAGTCGGGCGGGCCAGATCTGCCGGCGTCATCGAAGCCGAGGTGGCCGATAAATGTCTCCGTCGGCGCCACGCGGCGAGCGGCGTATCCCCCAAGTCGCGGCTGAGCCGGATAGCACCACCGCGCCAGACAAAATGGAGCCGAACCACGTGATCCTATCGGCCGCGCCACCTCGATCGAGCCGAACAAAGCAAAGCAGAGAAGGGAGGAGCAGGAACAGGAGCCAGAGCGTCGCCGAGGGACGGATCCTCTTGCCTGCGCTGGCGGCACGCACAAGGGACCCGCGCCATTCCAGGGCAGCCTGGACCACAGGGCCACGGCGGCGCGCTGGACCCAGCCGAGGCCATGCCAGGGACCCGCTGGGTCCGACCAGGGAACCCACCAGAGAGCCCCGCAGTGGCTTTGCCAGTCCCTCTCCTCCGATGTCGCAGTGTTTTCGTGACGCCGCCCCCCCAGGGATCTCGACCCTTTACGATGGGGCCGGCTTCTCATCCGGGGTCCTTTTGGGACGGTCCCGGGGCCAGGAGATGGCCTCTGGCGGCCGAAAACGACAAACCACGGCTGCCAATAGTTCTGTTGTTGCGTCGCCCAGATCTCAGGGAACATCTTGCCAGACCCTCTGAAGTTATGATGTTCCAACCTCCTTTAGCCTTGAGCACAAAACAGAACCTCGAGCGCCGAGTCCGTACCGAAACTTGAGGGCGTGTCCTGGGAGGCGATGCTCGCTCGACACTTCGCTGGCGTGTCGAGTCGACACTGCCCCGCTGCTCGACACTCCTCCTGGAGTGTGGCCCTTCGGTACGATGGGGACAACGTAACAGCAAACCTCTGGAGGCGGCTTCCCCCTCCCATGGCGCGGACCTGCACCGACTCAGCTGTGGCCGGCGGGCGCCGCCCCTCTCGACGGCGACGCGCCTCTCGACGGCGACATGGACAGCGAGCGGCCCATCAGGCGCCCCAGCAGGCCGCCCTTCGACGGCGTGGAGGCGGCCGACGACGCCGCGGAGCGCCGCGTGGGCGTTCCCAATGACGCTGCCGACGACGACGCGGCGGGGCGCCGCGTGGAGGTGCCCAGTGGCGCTGCCTCCGCGAAGGGGCGCCCAGGCAGCGCCAGCGGCGGCGCCTCCAGCTCGTAGATCCGCGCAGCGCCAGGCGGCAGCACGCCGGTCTGCGCGGCGGCCTGCGCGCCGCCGAGCTGCGACACGAAGGCCTCGTCTTAGGCTGTCCCCATCGTACTGAAGGACCACATGCCAGAAATAACTTCGAGCAGCCAGGCAGTGTCGATGCGACACGCCAGCGAAGTGTCGAACGAGTATCGCCTCATGGGGCGCGACACGTGACAACCCTCGAGTTTCGGTAATTACGGACTCGGCGCTCGAAAGTGTTTCTGGTGATCAAGGCTACAGTAGGTTGGAACATCATAAGCCTCGTCGCGCAACTTCTTCACCGCCTCGATCTTTAGGTAGTAGCGCGGCAAGACGGCCTCCGCCGGGTGCGACCACATCGTTGCGCCGGTGCGGACGTTGTAGAAGTACTGCCTCCCCTCCGGGTCCGCCGCGGCCGACCAGCTCTTGTACTCCGCGGCCGCCTCCGACGACCACTCCTGGTGTCGGGGGGCCGCGGGGGGCTGAGCTGGATGAGCCCAAAGGAAACCTGGTCAGGACCCAGACCCCCGGCGTCGTGCTTTTGTTCATCACGTCGACCCCAGAAGTCTGGACCCCTTCCTGGGGACCGGTCTTTCATCCTGAGTCGTTTTCGACGGTCCAGAGGCCCGGGAAGAGCCCCCGG